CTATTTTTAAGAGAGAGTTCCCCTTGACCCTCTCCGTTATTTATNCATCCTGGAATTACGTAAGGCACGCGTGGCAATCATCTTAACAGGTAACGCAACGGCGAATCGGCGATAATTGATGTCCGAGTTGGTAGACAGGGATAGAGGGGATTGGGGGCGACCCAATTTGATTACAAGGCAATGTTCTGGCCGCGATTATTACCTCGGGGCTAACCGCGTTAGCCCGCTAGACAGGACTGCAACCTGCTGCTTCGTCGGTGTCTGTCCATCGCTCCTCCGCAACAACTATTCCAATTAACTGTAAACGTCGAGGTATGCCGTTCCCCGAGGAGGATACTTTTTATCGCGCGAATTTTGTTTTGAAATTGATCGATCAAGAATCTCGTCGTTCGAGGAAACGGGAGAATGAATCGTATTGGAACGATAGTATATCAAGTTCTCGATGGAAAGTGTCGATAAAGTGTTAAAGTTTTCAGAAGAGTATCATTTTCGATGACCTAAGAATATAGTTTAATGCAATGATTTCGATGCTGTTATAAAGAATTTATGATCGAGAGGTTCTTAATCAATCGAATTGTATACCAATATATCTCGTCTTGATTGTAAATGAAAGCTATTAAATAGAGATCGAAGTCTTGGTAAAATATCAAAAAAAGCATCAAATATTACTTTGTCTATCGAAAAGTCTAATCAAGTATCTGGAAACTTTGATAGATATCGTAGTTTCAATTCCGGATGATTAATGATCAAGGAATCGAATTAAAAATTATTTTTCGAGGGAAGGCCGAGACTTTTGAACTTCTTTCCAGAAAGACAAGAAATGGGAAATAAACACTTTGACCGGAAACTGAGCCGTCTTAAGCCTCGATAATTGCAAAGTTCTCTTGGCTCCAAAAAGAGCAATTCCGTTTATACAGCCGTCGAATTACGGATAGGAAGTTTTTACGAAGGTAACTTCATTAACCGATCTAAAATCACGAGTATCCGCTCCCCGAAAAGAAAAGAAAAGACAGGGGGAATGGAAGAAAAAAGAAAAAAAAAGGAGTCGAGCGTGGATTCTACGCGCATCGCGATCACACCGATAGTAACTTTTCCAATTACCTATAAATCCTGTCGAACGGAAGCCATTGAGCAGAAGAAAGTGCGCGATGGTCGACGAAAGTGGCCGTACATCACCCCGGAAATGGAAGTTGGTGGTGCGGACGAGCACTTGCAGAACGCGAGACAATCATTTGTCATTTGTTTTTCTTTTCTTTTTTATTCGCTCGAGGAAGGAATTTTCGTTGGCTCCCGATCAAATGAAAATTGTGTCAACGTTATACGGACGGTGCTTAACAAGCGAAGAAAAGCCGAGTGACCTGTGCTTTTATCTTTTTAAAGATAAATTAAATTTTAATGAACTACGAGCCGAGCGTATTTTCGTTCATTCACACTCGATCTATATCAACGTTGTCCTGGAAACAATTTCCAGAAGACGGACGAAGCTCCCCCCTTTCTTGTACGAGAGTAATTATCGAAAACTCTTGAACAAGGGATCGTCTCTCGTTTCACGAGATCTTTACAGCATGTTCGTCCTGAATGACGTTTCGACAACAGTCGAAAATCCTGGCTGTCTCGAGTTAAACCCTCTCGAGTGATACTATAAATCTCGCGTTTTATGGTATCGCGTATATCATGGAGAATTCGCGAGACGCGTTGGCGAAAAGTCGCGAGAGCGCGAATTATATATATATATATAT